TTTTAAATAATTGTGCATTTTGAAAGACTAGTATTTATATTAAACGAATTAAGCATTTATTGCATTTTTTTTACAAGTTTTTTTAAATAAAGTGAACATCTTGATGATGCTTAAAAAGAATGTTTTCTATATGATAATCATATAATAATATCAGAAACCTTTAATAATTCTACTGATAATAATTCTGATAATGATAATATTTTAATATTCCAATAATAGTTAACATTTCAGCTAATTTAGAAGAAAAAATTTTGCGAAATATTACTGATATAAAAACGTGATAGAATTTAAAATATCATTTTTAGAATCGTTTATTAAAATTATATAAAGCAATTGAATAGCTAATAGCAACTTTACCTTTATCAGATATTTCTGATGATCATGTAGATGGAAAAAACTTAAAAATGGCTTTATTACCTTATGAATAGGATTAAAATAAATAATTGATTTATTAGAACCATTTGTTGATGCTACTACTTATTTTAGTGAAACATCTTATGCTACTTTATCAATTATTTATCCTTTAATTCAAGTTCTAAAAGAAAAATATGTATTTGGACTTTTATTTTCTGACGATTCTGATGAACAAGATAATTTGAAATTAAAAATTTTCTTTATTTTTATTTATTACCTATTGGCTAATTTTATAATTATTTATAGATATTCCTAATTTTCAACATAAAGAATCTTCAGATGAAGATTATGATAGTGATAGTAGTGAAGATAAGCTAAAACTTGATACTCCAGAGTTATCAACACAAATTCATCATAAAACCCGATCTATTACAATAGTAACAACTACAAATACCACTTATACTGCAATTAAAACTCTTCAAATAATGAGACAGACTATTTATTGGGATCAACCTATAATGATCGGTCTTTTAGCATCTTTTTTGGATCCACGGTTAAAAACACTTTCGACTTGGGGTGAAGATATACAAAATAATGCTAAAGCAGAATTAAAACATCAATTTGAAGTATTAATTAAATCAAATTTAACACAATCATCATCTCTTTCTGATAATTTAATTCAACAAAATTCTATTTTACATCATCCTAATCGATTGCATTCTTCTATTTTTAGTGTAGTGACAGCTTCAAATCCTTTCTCTGAATTAGATTATTATTTAGATCCTATTTATACTCCAATTGCTGCAGATAATATAAATCCTTTTGAGTGGTGGGCCATTCGGAAAACACAATTTCCTAATATAGCTAAATTAGCCAGGAAATATTTATCTATTCCTGCTTCTTCGTACCTAGCGAAAGATTGTTTTCCGATGCTGGTAATCAAATTACTGCTAAACGAATGCGTTTAGATCCAAAATTAGCAGGAAAAATGATGTTTATTAAGAGAAATTCGAATACAATTCACATATTTTAAGTTGTCATTAAATATGTTTTAATAGAATTTAAAATAAAAAAAATTTGCAATTTATAATAATTTTAAATTTTGTTTTTTTAATAAATTTTTTTACTCTAAAATTAATAGTATTGTTATCAATGTTTAATTTATTGAAAAATAAAAAATAAATAAATTAAATAAAATCGGACATATGGAGACGATACATTTATTAATATATAAATTTTTTAAATTTTTTGTCAATATCATTTTATCAACAATTTATGATAAAATTAAAATTATATTTCAAAAAAAATTTTAACCCAAATTTAACCCGGGTGACCCGATTTTAAAAGTAAGCGGACATCTGGGTGACAAATTAGGATCCGGTTCGAATCCCTAATTAAAAATATAAAAAAGCAATTAAAATATGAATATATTTCAAAAAATATAAAATACAAATACTAATAATATTAGGATACTTAATGGTTGTGACGATAAAATAGCTTTTTTTGCAATTTTATTTTATTATGATTACATAACATATTATAATATTACGTATGCTAAATTTATAACCAATAAAATTAATTCTTCAAATATCCTCATTTATCTCAAAATATATAAAATGTCGATTTAGTCCATTTTCTGACAGTTACTTCAGATTTTATAAAATCTGTCATCAATGTAATAACTGAAAAGTCAGTAAACTAATCTTTGAAGAAGCAGCAGACTCAACCTCCAAACAAGTAGCAAACTCAGCGCTCAAGAGACAATAAGTATCTAAAGAGGAGATAGACAAATAGATTTTTATTTATTACAATAAATTTTAAAATCTAAAAAATGGATAAATAAACACCTGTAAATTTCTAACCTATAATGCACTATCTGCTATCACTTTCGAAATGTTTGTTTTGTTAATTAGCAAATAAAAGTCATGTACTAAAAACGCGTACTGATTTGAACATTATTAATTCCCGAATTATTTATCGGTTTTATTGCAAATTTACATTAGTATAGTATCAAAAGCTTTAGATAAATGTAATGTACTTCAATTATATTTCATTAAAAATTATATTTTATTTAAATATAGCAAAGAAATTTAATTATATACATAAGAAAAGAAGAAAATTGTTACATTTGATTCTTCATAGTTTTCATATTTGTTTAAATTGAAATAATTCATATTCTTCTATAGAGAAACAATTTGTAGATTCTCTAATTTCTTTTTCATAAGAACATTTTATACATTTGCTTTCATTAAATGAATCGTCTCCAATTATACCAAGATCGGTCTTACCAAATGATGGAAAAAATGAACTAACGAAAGCCCCATTTTTTATAGCAAATTCATGATCTTTTACCCGACTTAGAATAAAATTTTCAACATTTTTGTTAAATGAGAATATAAAACTGTCTTTTGTATCTCCAAAAGAAGCATGCCAAGACGAATTCCATGTAATAGGATTGTACCCTCCAAGGATTTCGTCGCTATCTTTTACTTTAAAAATCGTTACGGTACGAGATTGATTACTACAATTTTCATAATATTTTCTAGGCGCAAATCCATCACGAGACCCACGAAGTAATAATTTAAATTCATATGAAATTTCCAAATCAGTTTTGATATTTATTCTATTAATCCATTTTGAGATGAGTTCAGCATGTTTAAATGTAATAATTTCTGAATCAACTTCAATCCTTTTAGACTTACTGCTTAGACAATGATCACTGTCCAAAAAACGTTTAATTAAATCGACATATAATTCCTTTGGTAATGCTTTCTTGTATGGTAAAACTTTATTCAAAAATTCCCTGGAGGTAAAGTTGTAAAATCTAATGGATGGAATACATTGTTGTAAGGTATTCTTCAAAGAAATGAAATCTTCTTTGGAATAGTCAGAAAGATCTGATGAGAGTTCTGGAAGTTGTGCAACTCCCCATTTAACAACATGTTCCCAAATGTGAACATCACTCATCGAAAGGTTTTCACTTAGAATAAGAGAAACCAAAATTTTTTCTGGAATTTTAACAAAATCAACGGAATTTAATATTTTTTCTGGTTCTTTGGAAATTAAATTTGTGCAAAAATTTTGAAATTCCGTGAAAGAATCATGTTTAAAACTTAATTGATTTATAAAATTAAAATTTTGTTCCATCCATGTTACTTCGTTTTCAATCAGGAATGATTGTAAATGGATGACTAATTCTTGAAGGCTTAATTCATTGGCAGCGAGCAAGATATTAATTATTTCTGAAGCATCATACTCCTTCAAAGGAAGGTTTGCATCATAAATATACCTTAAAATATATAAAAAAAATTGTGAATATCTAACAATTTGTAGTTACAAAAAAAGCTCTCATAATTTCAAATTACCTCAAGACTATGTGAAAAGTTTCAGGAAGAATATCCGGGAACGTAACATGTACCGCTCCATCATTTCTCATTCTATTAGTGGATAAAACTCTTTGGAAATAAGGAGAACGATGGGATAAAATTATCCTATGAGCACGAAAATCTTTTACATTTGAACCCTTTCCAACTTCAATTATAACATCAAAATAGTCATTATCTTCTAAACATTCAAATAAATTTTGTAATAATTTCAGAACAAACTTATCAGCAATCATTAATAAGTTTTTATTTTTATAAAATAATTTTTTATTGGCTGTAATATACATTATTTTTTTTAAAAAAAAAAATCTATTGTAGTACTTCATATGCTTTTACGCCCTCAATCACGAACAAAGATTACCTAATACCGCCAAAACATTAAAATTCTCTGGTTTTTTTAGTTAGACTTTGTAGATCAATTTGGTCAAATTTGTCTTTGCCAAAATATTAGCATTAGTATTTTGTAATAAATGGTGTAGATCGCCGACGACGTTAAGGCAACGCTTTGATTAATTGATGAAATGGACGCTACAGTATGTATATAGGATTAGGCTTTACATAGTATGTTCTCATATAGAGTCGATTCTTATAAAAGTTTCAAGCGCCGGCTGAGCAGCAATAAAGAACTCTGGTGGTTTTAAGTAATATTGATTTTAAAACGAAATGTATTTTTTTTCACAGTAAAGAGTAGTTCTTTTATGTTTGTTAATTACTATATAAAATTTAACAATAGTAAGAAATCCAAAAATTCAGCAAGTTCAGAATTATATCAAAATTTCAAATTATTAAAACAACTCCTTTTAATTCAATAAGACACGTTATAACTATAAGATAGGGTTAATGACTCTTACTTGTAGCACGTATTAAATGCAACGGTCGTATACCGCAAATTACAATTTTTATAAAAGTAGCTTCTTTCCTTATTTGTGGAATTATCTTATGTATGCTAAAATGTCAAATTAAACAGAATATGATTCAATTGATTTGTTAGTAAATCGGAAGAATATTAAACTTTGAATATTCAGATTTCAATTATATAAAATGAATTGGAAGCGGTTTTTTTTAGAAACGTATTGCGCAAACTTGGAAGAATCATATTTTACGTTTTGAAATTTTTAAGAATGACAAAGTAACTCTGAGAGAAGTTGTAAATGAAGTAAAATAATACAAAAAAAGTATTCATCGTTATAATTTAAATAAATTAAAATATATTATATCTAAATCTAATATTGAAGTTAAAATTACATCGGAAAGTTAACCATCATGAAAAATCATAAAGGTATTTGGAATCACAACTAAAAGAATTGGCGAGTAATAGAAAAATTGGCAATCATTTGTTTAATGGATAAATGATCTTTTCATTAATACCTTTCAAAAAATAATTTTTATGTTTTATTTTTATAGTACGCGAAGTAAATAAATTCACTGTAGTTTTGGAATATGCTGAACGTGGTACGTTAAATTTTTATTTGATTGAAGTGAAAATATCAGTTAGCATTTCAATTAGCAAGCGCTGTGGTTGTGGTGTCATTTCATCGAGATTTGGTAATATAAGGCCATGCAACTTCGATTTTCCGATTTACGTAATGATTATTTTTTATTTATAAAAAGTTTATATATGCCATCTGATTGGTCAATCTTTAAGGGGGCAAGGCTGTGCAAAGTAAATTTTTCGACATTTTTTTTTATAGTAAAATAATCTGTATTATTTTGCCTCAAATTCCGATGAACAATACTTGACAATAGAGATTTGCTTAGTCTTATACAATTAAATTAAATTTTTTTTTTTTTTTGATATTTAATTTTAAACAAATATACTTTTTTGCATTTTTAATATCTTATTGGAGTAATTAATTAAATAAAAACTTTAAAATTTAAAACTCGGCTCATATTTGTCTATGCGTACATACATAAAAATCCAATTTACAAAAATTAAATTTTCGTAAAATTCCATGAGATAAAAACAAATAATTGTTTAAATTAAAGTTCTTTGTAACACAAGCATGATTTTTCGGTGCTTAATCAGAATTTTTTGATCAAAATCGGTTTTTTTTCGCGTACATTTTAATAAATATTTCATCATTACTTAATAATATCTTACAATTTCACAAACTAAAGTACAATTAAACTTTGTCGAAACCTCCGGGCTTTGCCGGTGTCATAAGAAATTAACTCGTGAAAAATAACAAATATGTCAAAAATAACTATATCAAACATGTATGTCTTAAATATGTTTGCTAAAATATTATACTTAGTTTTTAGATTGTATTTATTTTTATGACATGGTTAAATTTAGAATAGATTTTTTTAAAATAAAAAATAAAAAATAATTTTAGAAAATTATTCAAATCTATTCTTAAATCACATGCTTTTTTATCTATTCAACACTGGTAAAAAAAATTTTATGTTTTCCTTAAAAAAACCACCGAGGTGATTCCGTTTAAGAGATAAACCACAGAAACTATTTCCTTCAAAAAAACGCCTTTATTAGTGTTTTTCTTTGAAAAAACTCCTCGAAGGCGATTCCCTTCAAGAGTAACCCTCCGGAAGCGGTTTTCTTAGTAAAAAAACCCTAGGAGGCATTTCCTTCAAGGGAAACGGCAACGGAAATGTTTTCTTTAAAAAAACGCCTCGGAGGCGATTCCCTTCAAGAGTAACGCCACCGGAAGCGTTCATCTTCGGAAAAATCGCCTCGGAGGCATTTTCCTTCAAAGAAACGCCACCGGAAGCGATTTCCTTCAAAGGTAACGCCTCCGGAAGTGATTCCATCAAAGGAAAAGCCTCTGGATGCGATTCCTTCAAAGGAAAAGCCACAGAGACGATCACCTTCAAGGAAATCGCTCCGAAAGCGATTTTCTTTGATAAAAAAGCCTTCGGAAACGATTCTCTCGAAGGGATCGTTCAGGGAGCGCTTCTCTTAATAGAAAAGTATCTCTCGACGGAATTTTGTTTCGAAAAAGAAATGTAAGCCGAACGAGCCGGCTTACTAGCCGGCTTGGCTTGGCTTGGATTGTCGATTATCGCCACGAGCCGAGCTAAGCCAAGACGAAATAAAAGTGACTCGGCTTAAGCTCATGGCAAGCCAAGCCACGGCTTATGCGGGGCTTTACTGCCGCAATTATCGAAATCAATTCACAATCTTTCGGGCGGAATTATATTAGACAGTTTCTAATATTTAATCATATACTAAATATCGGAAATACATAATTTGTTATTGAAATAAAAGTTAATTTGAATATATTAAAGTATGTCTTAGGTATGTTACAAAAGTAATTTGGCTTAGTTACATTTCTAAAGCCTCTTGGCTTAGTTATGTTATCAAATCTTCCTACTTAGTTACATTACCAAAGCCTATTGACTTAATTGCATTACAACACAAAATATCATATTTGCGAACTTGCCGGAATTGATCTACATAGTCTAAGTTGACCAGAATTATCGACTGTGGGCAGAATTATATTCTTTGTCCAATAGCTTAAATTTTTTCTAACCGAGGATTTACAATGGTGGTGCAAATATTTATTACGGCATTTAGAGGCTGTAAAGGCTGTAACGCTCTTTATGAGAGACTCCAGCAAGTAAATACTAGTTTGTTAAGGATAAGCCCAGTCAGCTTCATAATTAAAAAAAAAAAACTATATAAAGTTAGAAAATTTGTCATTATTCTATCAAATAATTTAATTGTAACTCTAATCTAATTTACTTACAAATACACGTCTCTAAGCTGCATTTCCTACAAGAAACTGTTTATAAAATTCACATATATTAATCCTTCAAATACTTCCAAAGTTATCATGAAACTTCACATTTTCATGCTTATTTTCGTCATTTCAGCCCTCAGTCATGTTGCTTTCTCAGCTCCTTCTTCTATTGAGAGACACTCAAGCTTGATGAAAAGGCAATCATCGAGTGCAGATTCAACGTGGATTGCTTCTGATGAGAAACACGCAAGCTTGTTTAAAAGGCAATCATCGAAAACTGCTTCAAAGAAGGTTGCTAAATCTTCTAATGGGGAAGCAGATCTCCCAATGATGTAATTCTCCAATATCTCGTAAGTTTATTTTCGGTGGAAAAAATAAAAACAAATTTTTAAATGCTTATTTTGTCAAACACCGTTGGGATAATAGTTACAAATAAATATTAAACGAGCTTGTTTTCAGTATTTTATGTAACTCTCTCTGTGTAAAGGATTTGGATGCTTTCATACTTGGTATATACGTTGCTTCTAATTTCATTATTTGCTTTCAATGTTATAGTAATTTTTTTATCACTTATAGTTTGAATTCAAAGTCACGAGTTGAAAATGTATAATGATTTTGAATATTGTTTCGACTTAAATTTATTTATTTGTAAAAATCAATTATTGAGGCAATAACATCTTTTAATGCGTATCATTGTTAAATAATAAAGTAGCCTTAGTTGGGAGAAGCCTTTATCTTTGATTATAATTTCTATGATTTAGACTTAACACTAAAAAAATATTAGGTTACCATTACTAATCATCTAAATCTTGTCTTGAAATGACACAGTCTCAGATAATTTAGAACGTGTGTTTGAGTTTCACACATGATGATATAATGATGCTTGTGAAATATTCCTTTAATTACTAAATATAGGGAGGTTTGAATTTTACGCGAATTCACCGATGATCTTTATACCCAGAATGATTACTTTACGCCAATATAAAATTTTTATAAATACCCACCATTTAATGTAATCTATTCTATTTCAGTTTTGAATTGAGAAGCCAAACTCATTAATTAGAACTATTTAAAAAGCTGATATTAATATTTTTTTTTTTGTGAAATTAATATAAAGTTTTGCTCGGATTTTAAAAATAAACATATATATTAGTCGTTTTCACATTTCGTAAATAATAAATAGGTGATAAATCATGCAATGGTTGTTTGACCAAATATTAAACTTTAATAATTTGTAAATCGTTAAGTTTCATAATAAATTTGAGAAAATTCATATGAAAAAGTGTGCGTTAACTTTTGGAACCCTCTGTATAATTCCTTTTAACCATATACACTTGCAACACTTTAAATGTAGCCTTGACAAAGATTATACTTTTTGATTTTAAGTTCAACGATGTAAACGCAGAATTTAAATGTACGATATATATAAATTATTAACTTTCATACGAATTTAATTAAGATTTGAATTTGTGACGTTTTGTTTACAGGTTATTTTTACTAGAAATAACAAATTATGGTAAGATTTAGCAGGAGTACACTAATTCTCCAACGATCTTGCTCAATAGTATTGTCACAATTCTTCATTTCAAAATAAACACGTTTTCTGATCTTTTACTTTTTTTTCGCCGAATAAAATCTACATTAACATATATATTATTTTTCAATATGTTGAATTATATAATATTGATGATAAATGAAAATCGGATATTTTGAGCATGTACATTGTAACTCTTTTTTTTTTGTATTTTTTACCTCAGGAAAATTGTATTAACAATACGAATAAAAGAAAATTAAGATTGTGTATATACTTCCGATCCTTTTTTGAAAAATTCATCTAGTGCTTGACCCGACTCGAATTTTTTCTCGAGTCGGAACTATCATTTTATGACACGAGTCCAAATTCAAAAAAAAACCCCGCCGGTCAGGGTCACGTTTTTGCTTGACCCGAGTCAACCCGGGTCGACCCGGCAAATAACTCCGTCACCATTTTCGCGGGAGACGCTATGTAAGTCTTATAAAATGTGAATTGTCTCATGACTTGCTTGTTTCTAGTTAGAAAACAATTGCTACCTAATATCTTTTGGGAATTATTTTCTTGATTATCGATGTTAAACTTTTCTTTTTCAATATTTAAATTATTCAACATCGTAAATCATTAGAATGTTGAATTATTCTCTTTAATATGTTCACTATTTAAAGGACTTGATACAATGGAAAAAAATTATTCAACTTAAAGTTTAAAAGCGTCAGATTTAATCGTTTAGCGCATGTTTGTTGTTGCTTTAGTAAGAAAGTATGATGTGTAATCATTTTGCAGATCGATAAAAAAGAACTCGGTATAGAATTTTTGAAGAAAAAACATAATCGCTACGTTCAGATCAGTGTTCCGAATATAGCGGCATAATCTTTTTTACTCATATATAAATGTGGTTGGCTTTTCCAAATCCTTATAAATGTTCTCGGAAAAGTCTCGGATATTCTCGGCTGTCCCATAGCTTATGAAATTAGCTGTAAATCATTATCACTAGATAACTGGGACCGTTTGTGCTTCCGAAGCGAGCGTCACGCTGTAACGCTCAAATTTTTTCGAGCTTGACATCTTTATTTTAGTTTAGTGTTACATTTACATTTAATTTAGTATAGCGTTACATTTAATGGTTTCATGATGAATAATAAATATGAGAGATAATTTTCTTTATTTTGATCATTATTTATATGTGGCTTACTTTAATGCTACGAGCTACACGCAACTTATCGGAAACGTTGCGCAGAGCCATTGGCTGCGTGGCATGCGGCCTGCTTTCCTAACAAACCTTTCCTTCCGAACTTCGTAACCCTAACCCTAATGCCACGATGCTACATCCTAACTCTAATGTCACGTCCTAATCCTAATGCTACTAACCTAAATGCCACAGTGTAACGTCTATAGTCACTATAGATATTAGACACGTGATTAATGTAACCGGGACTATTATAATCGGAGCATAGGGCAAAAAGTGTTGGTCGGTGACCAACCAACTTTTCGACCTTTTGCACAGAACGTAAACGTCCTCCGCTTTCGCTTCGGATAATAAACTGAATTTAGCAATTTCTGAGTTTCAATTCTATAAAGCATAGAATTATTTATAAGCTTCATTAGAATTTTAAGAATTTTATTACTATTAAAAAAATTGATAAAGATTATTATTTTAAATCATTTTATAAAGAACTAGCTGTAACCCGTTGCTTCGCACCGGGGTCAATGAGTTGGATTAATTATATATATTAATACATCTTGAAATAAAATTCCGATTCGCTTTTATAAGTTATGTTTATATAATCTAACTTTTGTTTTAATTAGGATGAAAATAAATAAATAATAATAAAATAAGATAAATAAAGTAATAAATAAAGTAAAATTTTAAAAATGATAGAAAAAAAAAAAAGCCTAAGGGGGGTTCGTCTTATATATTATATTAAATATGAATCTATAAGAAAACCTATTTGGATAATAATTTTTATCATGTAGAGCTAAAAAAAAAAAATTTCTTTCGATAAACATCCCACCAAATAAAAATACACTTCGTATCAATTTTTTTCAAATTAGAATTTCTTACCGTAGATCAAACCATATTGAATAAACTTTTTTTTTCAAATATTTTTTTTTTTATCACTAATGAAAAACGAAAAGTAATAAAGAAATGACTGTTTTTTGAACGCGGAATGAAAGGATTTCCTTGAAGAAATTACTGAATATTTCAATTAACTTAATACTCAAAATAATAGCGTGTGCTACATAAAAATAATTATTTTGGCAGAATTGGGAGAAAACTCTTTATTTCAGAGGATAATTAAAAAACACCACTTAAGTGGTGTGGTGTCAAGAGTGTAAATCCTGGAATGAAGAATGTGATAATGTTAATTTATATTTGGAGTAATGAATTCCAGTTTCTTTATTTCAAAATGATGAACACAAATGGGTTTGACGTCAATCATGTAGAATATGAATTAGACTACAGTAAAATCTGGGGTTGTTTTGCTAAAATAAGCTGGTCCTTTAATAGTGATAATATCCAAAAATATGTTAGTTGCCCATTTGTTTCCTTTTATAAAAAGTCTGGGAAAATCTTTTCAAGGTAAAGATACTTGTATGAAAAAAAGAAAATTTGATATTTTTCGTCTATGGTCCCAATCTTAACCAATTGAGACCATTATGAAAGAAGTAAATGAGTATTAACCAATTTTGGAGGAAAATAGTTACAAATTGAATGATATTTTGAAATAGTTGGTAAATAGTATGCCTTATAGAGAAAATCCTGCGATGTCTTAATAGCAGATTTAGTAATTACAAAATCAGATGATTCTGGCAATATAAATAATATTATGTGCATTTCATTTATCAATAAACATTAAATACGCAACAAATTCTAATGATTTTTATCTGAGAGCTCGTAAAATCTTTTGAAATTCAAAGATGTCTCAATCGTGTTTGCCGCAATATTATGAAACTTAAGAACTCCTTCAAGTAAATTGTTTGATTATAATAAAACTATAGAAGAAACAAAGCAGCAAATGGATGATATGACCGTACTAATCCTGATAATCTTTTCGTAAATGAGATTAAAGTAGATGAAAGATATAAGATCAAAAGCAAGAAAGATGGGTTAAAAAGTACGAGGACGTTGTGAATGATAAGTGGGAAGATTTGAATAATAGCAGGATATAAAGAGAATGGATTAAAGTTAAGGATAAAGGAGGTGATAGAAGTAATTTCAGAAAATTTAAGGTTACAGAAAGGGTTGTCTTTACTTATTTAGTGGCGGTTGTTTTTTAGGATCCTCTAAATTATCATGCAATTATACTTGCTTGATCTCTGTGTCAACAAATACTTGTCTCTTTAACGTCTTTGACAACAAGTTTAGCTAACACACGCCTACCATAACACCTCCAGGGATAATGGCAGCCACTGGTGATTAAATAAGGATCGCATTTGAAGGAAGAATTTATCGCTCCGGAGCGATTTCCTTCAAAGATAACTTCTCCGGAAGTGGATCCATCAAAGGAAACGCCCCCGAATGCGATTCCTTCAAAGGACAAGTCATAGAGACGATTCTCTTCAAGGAAATCGCCCTGAAAGCGATTTTCATTGAAAAAAGCGCCTTCGGAAACGCTTCTCTTAATGGGAAAAGTTTCTCTCGACGAGAATTTCGTTTCGAAAAAGAAATTTACTAGCCGGCTTGGCTTGGCTTGGATTGCCGGCTAAGCCAAGCCGAAATAAAAATGGATCGGCTTAAGTCATGACAAGCCAAGCTAAGCCGGCTTTATGCGGAGCTTTACTAGCCACAATTATCGATAGCAATTTACAAGCGTAAATCGTGATCTTTCGAGAGAATTATATTAGACAGTTTCTATTATTTATTATACACTAAATAACGGAATTACATAATTTGTTATTGAAATAAAAGAGTAATTTGAATTTATTAACATTTGGCTTAGGTACGTTACAAAAGGCATTTGGCTTAGTTACGTTTCTAAAGCCTCTTGGCTTAGTTAAGTTATCAAATCTTCCTACTTAGTTATATTACCAAAGCTTCTTGGCTTAATTACATTACAACACCAAATATCCCATGCCTGAGTAGATCTACATAGTCTTATTAAAATTATATGAACGAAGTATTGAGCAGAATTATCGACTGTGGGCAGAATTATATTCATTGTACAATAGCTTAAATCGAGGATTTACAATGGTGTGATTGGATGCAAACATTTATTACAGCATTTGAGAGGCTGTAAAGGCTGTAACGCTATTTATGAGAATCTCCAGCAAGCAAATATTAGATTGTTAAGGATAAGCCCAGTCAGCTTCATACTTAAAAAAAACTATATAAAGTGAGGAAATTTTGTTATTACATTGTCAAGAGACAGCATTCCATTCAATTATTTATATTGTAACACTAACCTGATTTGCCTATAAATATACGTCTTTAAGCTGCATTTCCCACAAGAATCTCAATCTCACATTTTATAAAAACATTCGTGATATTAATCCTTCAAATATTTCAAAGTTATCATGAAAACTCACATTTTCATGCTTATTATCGTCATTTCAGCATTCAGTAATTTTGCTTTCTCAGCTCCTTCTTCTAATGAGATTCACTCAAGCTTGGCGAAAAGGGATCTCGAGGGCTGCCGTGATCCGATGGTGAATTGTTGGTAACGTAACAAATAAATATTGCTTGTTTTCAGTATTTTATGTAACTGTTTCTGTGTAAAGGTTTTGGTAAAGGTTTTGTATGCTTCATACTTGTATATCCGTCGTTTCTAATTTCATATATATTTTTTTTTGTTTTCAATATAATTTCCTTACAGGGAAAATGACTGGTAATTTTTTTTATCTCCAACTTATAGATTTGAACTGCCAGAAAAAAATTAATTTTACTTTTATATGCTAAATATGATTTTCAGGTCGACATACGTTTGAATTCAGATTTATTTTATTTTTCCCGGCAGTTTCCCTCTTTCTATAGCAAAGGATCCACGAACTTTCTAATCTAATACTTTTTTTTTACGCCGAAAAATGACACCTTAACATTCTATATTAGAGTTTAATACACAGTATATATATATCTCTCTTTCAAAGGCTTTACCGTGGCTAACCTCTTTTGTTGAATTAAATAGTGTTGATAAATTTTCTGATAAACATGTAAATCGGATTTTTCGAGCGACCTTTTTTTTGAATTTGTTATTTTATTTAGGAAATGAGTATTAACTGAGTTACAAATAAAAGAAAACAAATTGTATAATAAAATCTGCAATGTTTATATTTCGCGTCTTTTATTTGATAAGAGTGGAAATATTCGCTACTTTCCAGATCATATTATACTTAATTACGCACCAGTTGTCCTATGAAACATGATTAAACAGACGAACGCTAATATGCAAATTTATACTTTTGGATGTAAGATTACACATACAGTCACACGTGAATTGATTGTTGAATAAAGTTTCCTCATGTCTTATCACTTCAGGTGTCGATAAAACAAGTTTCTTGATTTATTCATTAATTAGGCTATTATGCCTCCTAATAATTATCTGGCTCCTATATATTCTGGTCATATTTGACAACATGAATATACTTACTTGCGAGCTTGTTATCGACTTATAAGATACTTTGTTTATATTATCTTACAAAATAATATTTATTTATTTAATTTTAATTTCATACTTTTTTTTTGTATGAAATTCAATTTCACCAAACGCTCATTGGAGGCCTGAATAAAATTTCCAATATTGTAAGCATTAAGCGACATAACCCTATCGATTTAATAAAATTTAAAACAGGGTTTATATATATTTTTTTTTATTAAATTATAACTATATAATTTTCTTAAAAAAAAAAAGGCGGGAATCTACATATATTGTACCATTGTATGAACGTTCAACACAAGGGTTACTTAATTTTTTTTATATTATTAAAAAGATCTTGCTTTTTGTCAATTTTTTTTATCACGATGCTTTTTACGCAGAACATAGCAAAAAAGGAAATCGATAAATATAGCCAAAATTTTATGTAGAACAAAAAAGAAACCAATATTGTAGCTGATCTAAATGTTCATCAATGGTATAAATTTATTATATATATTATATATATTTTAAAATATATTTTCTAGAAGTTCTTCATTTTCATACATTTTTAAAAGAGCTCCTTTTAAGTGTTCATTTTGGTTTCAAATAGCTGCATTTATTTACACGTCATGTATACTGTATAATGGTAATGAATGCTTGTGACTGTTGGACTTGCCCAAACGTAAACAAATGTCTCTCTCATATTTTCACAAATGGTATTAATTTAAAATATATAATCAATAAATCGTGACAGAAAACCTTTAAATATCAAGATTTAAATTTTAAGTGCATGATTTTTAAAGAAAAAGGAACTATATCGTTAAAAAAAAAAAAAATACTGATTTTTTTGTACTCAATAATTGGATTGGATTATCATATGAAGATATTAGTAATTTTTAACAATTCATGGTTAGGAAATGATTTGGGACCTTCTCTTCAATTTTACAAATATGGGATTCTTTTTCAATTTATTAAATTTATTAGTATGCTCATTTCTTTTATCTTATTCAAACATTTTCGGTTGCAATTAGATTGTTGCATGAATAAAATTTCAGCTAAATATTTGTTGCTCATTGCGCAGAATAAATGCGTAATTGCAAATTAAAATCAATAAAAAAACTAAAAACAAAAAAAATCACAACTTCTAACAAATCAAATTAAGTCATAAGACCTTGGTGAAAGAAAAATTAGCAAAATAAAATTTGCACGCAATAGGCAGCAGCGTAAATAAAACGAATTTTTTCAAAAAAAAATTTTATCCTAATTTCCAAGAATTTCCTCAACTTCTGCCTTATATCGATAATTAGGAGTATTCTAATTTTATAATTATAATAATGATTAAACTTATTATTAAAAAGAATAGTTTACCTACAACATTGCTTAAGATTTTCCACTTTATCTCACACTGTTCAGTAAGATATTGGTTCTCATCATTTGATAAAATCATCGAGGTATGGTACCAAAAGCTTATTTTTAATATTAACACTACCACACGCTTACGCTTTTCTACTAATTCTTTAAGAAAGCAAGTAAAGATTTAGGTCCTTTTTCAGTCCACATAATTCGAGATTTTTGTTCACTAGAATGTTCCATAGTGCATTTAATTCTTCATAATTAAATTGACGTGTAAAAATTTAATATAATCGAATCTAATCCAAAAGAATTTGTGAAGAAAGTTAAGCATATTTACCTTGAACAAAATCTATACCAAGTGGAGAATTACTTGAATCATTTTGTTGAGTAATAGTAAACGTATTTGCGTAGGAGCTTATCATATTTTCATGATCGTGATGTGAAGTAGCGAGAGGTCGTAAAGTATATAGTAGAATTATAATTTGAGCATTACTGCTAACATCATCTTGTTAAGTACAATAATTGTGTTTCATAAGATGAAACTCCAAGCATGCTCTCATCATCGGTTTGCGCATTATTATCAAAATATAAAAATCAAGGGTATTTTGAACATCGTTTGCGACTTGTGGTGGTTGAGTTGTGTACATATTGCGAATGCCTTGTATGAAGCGGAGTATTTAGATCGTTATTATGTATATATATAATTTTTTTTCTTGAAGTGCAATAATACCTAATTTTCTAAAATAGTTTAGGGTTTCCGTTTGAAAATAGAATATTCGAATATTTGTATGTAAATAAATAAAATTCAAATATTCGAAAAATACATAATTAATAATCGAATATCGAAAATTTGGATATCGAATTGATTTCTAATATCGAAAATCTTATCAATCTTTACGATCGATTATTTATTTTAAAATAAATGAAATAAATAAAAAAAAGAATATAAAAAAATAAAGCTAAAGCTTATCTGATCGAAAAATTTAAAAGTATCGAAAAAAACCAAAATACAAAAAAAAGAAGGAAAATGCGAATGATTTGATATCCGAAATGACTTTCGATATCCAAAATCATTTCGATATTCGTTTGAAATTATTTTAAAAAACTTTCAAATATTTGCAATGCAATTTGTATTTCAAACGAAACCCATAACCTAGTTCGTTAATAAGCGTGCGTTTTAATAAAATTTCTGTCTCCAACACGTGATTTAAGTTTTTGGGATACACGATGTGCGGGTTTAACGACCCGATAGTTAATTTATTTGATTCCTATTTTATCTCGACTATTTTATAATTATGAAAACCTAGATGCATGCGCTTTCTTAAAGACAAAAAAACATAAGTCACTCGCAGCTTAAGTATAAAATGAAGTGCTTTTTTAAAACGAAGAAACGTCAGAAAATAATATCAAGAATTATTTTTTCAAGCTAAAATTAATATAATAAAAACAAAATGATCAACCAAAATGATATAATTACTTATTCAAACAAAAATGTTTAATATTAGCAAAATTATTATTACAATTAATTACATATATTTAAAATCACTTCCAATTTTATAATAGGAGCAAAAAAAAAAATATTTTTTTTAAGGTTCAATGTAAATAATTACTTATAAAATAAAATAGTAATCTTTATCAAAGATTTTTTTAATTAATTTATTACTTATCAATAAAGTGCTATTATAATTAATAAACGTGTGGTGCATAACATTACTATTTATAGCAAGTAAAGTTTGATAAATTATTTAGTATATCGCGTATTAAGTAAAAGAATTTTTAAAATGAAAATTATAATGAAACTTATAAATGTTCTCTGTTTTATACTAGGGAAGGGATCGAGATTGAAACATGATCGATAAGCGTTTATTTGATACTATACTATATTTATCAAATCAAGTGTTTTTAAATAGTTAATATTCCGGCCAGAATTAAAATAATTATGCATAATTTAACCTTAATAGATCAAAATTCTATATCTGGTATAGTTACGTTACTGATCACCATAAAATTGACGAAAAATAATTTCTGTTGTCAGACAATTCTTTTTTCTTCCGAATAAATTTTTGCACATTTTCTTTCGAATTTGAGTCAAAATTATATTGAATTATTGGATAATGATATTATTGTGGAAGTTGATGAAGATCCCAATGTTAAAATATTCCGTGCTCATATGAAAATTTTGTGATATCGTTCTACATATTTGAGACGAGTTTTGGCTTCCAATAAAAAAAAAGTAATGATAATTTCTTGGCACATTTGAAGTTGCCAAATATATCACCGAATTATTTAAAGAGCTATCGGATATATAATATAATAATTCTAATATTTAAAATAAATTTTTTCGTGATTTAGATATACAGTATTATGGCGGCATTCTTTCATTTAATGTGCATAAATATATTTAATTGAAAATAAATCCGAATGTATGGAGCAACATTTTAGGATTATTAACCAAACAAGCTTTCTAGTTAATGTTAATTATTTGTATAGATTTGATAACTTAATCACCTGACAATATATTTAAGTCACTTGACTTGTCTTTTTCTTTCTGAAAAGTCTTTAATGTCAATCATCCTGAAAAGTTTCACACATATGCGATAATAATCCTATGACTGTCACGTTCATTAAAATAAAAGGAACAGAAGAAATTATTGGTGAACACAATCCTCTAATATGAAATCTACTTATGAATGGCGTGAAACTAAAGATAGTTTTATTTTTCTTCAAAAAATAAGGATAACTTTATCAAGGATGCGTTTCTAAGTAATGTTAAATATGCAGAATATGCATTATTTAATAAAAAGGAATGTGGACCATGTTTTGGATTTGATCTTGGTAAATAACCAATGGATTATGATTGGAATTTTGGTCAGAAACGTTATTATGAAAAAAATTAAGAGATAATATAAATACATTTATTATTGAAGCTTATGAAGTATTCCAAATTACTTATATTTTAACCATTCGGGTTATTTTTTTATTTTTTTCTGTTTCTATCATATTCCTTGATAATTTAATTATAATTATTTTATTTTTCAGTCGAAAATTAGTGAAATCACAATGTATTACATGATTAACATATTACTTCTATGATATTTGCTGCAGTGTGAGATCATCTGATATTTACCTTCAAGGGAACGCCTCCGAAAATGTTTTCTTTGGAAAAAAAGCCTCGGAGGCGATCCCCTTCAAGGGAACGCCTCCGGAAGCGATTTTCTTTGATAATAACGTCTTCAAAACGTTTCTCGTAAATGAAATCATTCCGGAAACGGTTCTCTTCAAGGGAATCGTTCTGAAAACGCTTATCGTTCCGGGAACGCTTCTCTTAATGGAAAACGTTTCTCTCGACGGAATTTCGTTTCGAAAAAGAAATGTAAGCCTAACGAGCCGGCTTGGCTTGGCTTGGAATGTAGATAGATTATCGCCACGAGCCGAGCTAAACCAAGCCGAAATAAAAGTGGCTCGATTTAAGCTCATGGTAAGCCTAGCCAAACCTGCTTATGCGGAGCTACACTCCCCGGTCAAAAAAAGTATTGGACCACGTGATTGTCGTTATACTGATTGGCGTAATTTTTCCGATTATAACTTGTGATCCAATGCATAAAAATGAGTCAATTTTTTTTTAAAATGCCCAACCCTGAGAACTTTCTGAATTTGAGCGAGGTGAAATAATTGGCCTTTGGAAAGGTGGTCATGTTGAGCGAGATATTGTAAATATTCTTGACCATCCTAAGTCAACCATTTATTATATTGTTGAAAAATATAAACTGAATACCAATTTCCAATGCTCCTAGGTCTGGCAGACCACCTAAATTAGAGAGAAATGTTAGATATCTTGTAAAAACCATTAAAAAGGATAGACAAAAATCCTTAGATGAAATTACAGAAAAATTCAATCAGATATCAATAGCTTCAGTGAGTTCTAGTACTATAAAGCATACTTTACATAATGAAGGTTTTTATGGTTGTGCTGGAAAAAGAAAACCTTTGGTATCTGAAGTAAATCATAAAAAAAGGTTAGAATGGTGTCATACTAGGAAAGATTGGGAATCTGAGTGGGATACAATAATATGGAGTGATGAATCTCGCTTTTTATTATTTCAAAATGATGCTCATCATTGAGTCTGATGTCATCCTCATAAAAAATATTATATGAATTGTTTAATTTTCACAGTAAAGTTAGGAAATCAAGGCATTATAGTATGGGATGTTTTACTAAAAATAAAATTGGCCCTTTAATTCAAGTTTCTGGTAGAATAACAGATTTTATATATATTGATATTTTAAATAATAATCTTTTACCCTTTATTGATGTGTTAGGAACTAATTTAAAGTATATTTTTCAAGATTATAATGTTTTTGTTCATCAAGCAAAAGTAGTTAAGGAATGGATAGAAGAAATGAAATAACTAATATTTTATAGCCTGCATAGTCACCTGATCTTAATCCAATTGAACATCTTTGAGATGATTTAGAAAGAAAGGTCTGTAAATATAAGCAAATCCAAAAAATCTTAATGAATTAATGGTAATTTTGGAGGAAAAGTAGTATGAAATTGAACCAGAAATTTTAGAAAATTTATGCCAAGAAGAATTCAAGCTGTTATAGATAGCAATGGCAATCCAATTAAATATTAATTTTATAAATAAAAAATTCATGTTTTTATGAATAAAATAAAAAAAAAATTATCCAAATTCACTTATTAATTTTTTTATAATTAAAAAATTATAATTGGTCATAAATTTAAAAGTTGTGATAACTTTTTTTAGTTTAATACTTTTGAGTGGAGAGTATACAACAAATGTAAGGACTTTGCGATAAATTATATATAAAACTTATAAAAACATTCATCATTTGTTAAATAAACTTTATTTGATACATGTAATATTGAAAAAAATATTTGATGATAGGTCTTAAAAACATAGAGGCTCAAAAAAATATCAATTGCAAAATATACAGTCATCTTAATTTGGTGTCAAATTTTTTATTTTGAATATGTAAAAATTGCTATGCAAATATTCATAAAAAAAAATTTAAAATAAATCAATTTTAACGATTTTTCAAATAATTTTTTGATGATCATAATGACCAAAAATTTTAGTTTATTACTAGCTTAAAAACAATGATTTAATATATAGAAATAATTTTTATAAATATTTATCTGATTTAACGCTACACTTTGACATTTCCTTAAAATTAATACAAGATGTAGAAGGCAGTTTCTTTTCCAACCAGATTTGGTATATACAGTTTTTGTACTAGACAAATATTTAATCCGCTTAGCGCTCTTCATTTACAGCAATTTCACAAAATGTGATCGTATTTCTTTTCAAATTTATATCCTTTATTAATATTTTTATATTAAATTAGCTTATCCCATTATCCCATTATTCATTATTTTATATTAATTGACAATGTAAAG